CACCCTGCGTGCCATTTCTCATCCGCACAGCCGCAAGCTGTTGTACACAGGTCTCACCCGAGCGCAGGGGCTAGCAATCATAATAGGACCGAGAAAACCGATTGCCTTGGCGATTAATAGGGTACACGACGAGCAACGCAACACGTTTCTGGAGCAGCGATTGCTGAAAATCCATAATGCGCATCAGAGCTCGATCTGGGAAAGGGAGAAAGAGCGCATTCTCGAGAGACGGGAGCTGTCATCGGGTAGGCCAAGGACATCAGAAAAAGGGTATGTTTCAGAGCAGCGGGGCAGCGTTGCGAACCTGTGCGAAGCATAGATTTGAGGCCGGCCACTCTGTTTTTTTTTTCCATCTCCCCTTTTTTGTGGTGTTCGCCCCCTAGCGAATGATGCAAGCATCCAACATCCAACGGCTGCGGCGTGTCCCTCCACAGCAAGAGGAGACCAAAGACGTAGAACCAAGCAAGCTGACAAGGCAGAAGACTTTACGGAAAAGGCGAGGAGCAAGCGGCTGGTTACGCAAAAGATTGGGCAGAAAAGGAAGGTCAGGAGCAAGCAGCTGATGAGGCAAAGATTGAACAGTATTCTGTTTCGCAGCCAGTTTTTGGGTGGATTGTGTTTTCATTTGGCTGGCGCATCGTCCGATGTTCTTCGCGAAGACGCCAACATCGTAGTTTGCTCTTCGATTCGACGGCACGGCGCACAGTCCGAGTTATTCGATTTCAAGCTCCCACCAGCTAAGGTGGGGGGGATATTCAGTCTCTCCAGGACCCTAAGGGATAATTTGTGCTCACACAGCTACCGGGCCGTATTCCGTCGACGAAGAAGTCCAATTTGTAAGTACGCCCTGGGTTACTGGGAATTTCTGGCAGTGACATAGGTTCAAAAATTATAATAGGACCAAATAGGTCAGTTTTGATTGGTGAATTTCTGGAAATGAGCTCTTTTTTTTTAGTCTTTTCAAGTCTTTTGGTTTTACCTTGTTATGCAGAGAGAGGTGAGTTAATTTTTTGAGTTTTTACAATCTTAGTATTTTTTCACTATTTTACCTTTTCCTAATTTTGATAGAATGGTCCCCTTCAGTCTTCGATGAAGTTGCATCTGATTCTCCTCATCTGGTCAGCGTCATCCAAGTCCATCAATGTTTCCTTTTCCTGTTTTGGATAGAAAATGGTCCTTCAGTCTTCGATGAAGTTGCATCTGACTTTCCTGATCTGATCGGCATCATCTGACCGACCCCATCCATGTTTGCCTTTTCCCATTTTTGATCGAATGGTCACCTTCAGTCTTCGATGAAGTTCCATCTGAATTTGCTCATCTGGTCGGCGCCATTTTGACCGACCACATCCATGACTTTGCCCAATAATCGCAAAGTCCATGAATATGGTGCGCACTGCTCACAAAACAAGAAAAAGCTTGCGTGCACCCGAATTGTAACGGAGGCATCTTGCCACCTTCTGTGTGCAGATACGTTCGCTATTTTTTTGCATTTCAGCACTGTGGCTTGGAGCAGCTTCCTTCCCTCGCAGAGCAGGATGTGCGTCTTTCTTTGTCTTATTCTTAGGATCTATTTTTTTTCTATTTTTTTTTTGGCGGGGGGGGCGGGGGGGAAGGAGGGATCATTTTTAGTCCGGCTGGACTCCAATTCATTCGGTCAATGTCGGCCGATTGAATGTCTGTTTTATTCGAACAGCAACGACAGGTGTAAGAATGTAAATACAAAATAGTGAAAAAGTCTCAAAAAGACGAAAAAGACTAAAAAGGATGGCTACCATCCGGACATCCGGACAGGCGTCCAGACGGTCTGCTGTCCGATGTCTGGGCCGGACCGTAGGACGCCGGTCTGGAAGGGGCCAAAACCCCAAAATTAAAAAAAAAAATTATAGGGGGCACCCTAGACCTGTTCCTTGGGTCCAGGGAGCCCCCTGAAAAATGTTTTGAACTTTTGATGATTTGTGGGGCCCGTATCAGCCGTACAGGGCGGCCGGCCCGGCCCCTTTTCTAATTGCATCCTTGGCAGACCGTTGGAGGCAGAGCGCGGTTCCCCAGTGACAAAGGCAAGAAAGGGCGGATCTAGGCGCTTCAGAGTGCTTCCCCGCCCACTTGCCGCCTCCCCCCCCCCAAACACACACACACACACACACACACACACACACACACACAGGAGAGGGAGAGAGAGCCCTTGTTACCTTTGTGGACATGCAAGAGAGAGAGAGAGAGAGAGAGAGAGAGAGAGAGAGAGAGAGAGAGAGAGAGAGAGAGAGAGAGAGAGAGATTTGAACTTTAAATTCTAAACTGCTGAAGTCTTGGGCTTCATTTAATATTTACCTTTATTCAAGTTTACTGCGGGGTGCTCTTTTTTTTTGTTTCTTCACTTTTTCTTCCCTTGCAGCAGTTTGTGCTTTGCAGTGACTGTGCCAGCACAGTGAGTGAATGTCAAGGAATGATCATTCATGTTTGTCATATATGCCAACAACTATGTCTTCCTGGAACACTTCCCCTTAAGTCACGCTTATACGATGAAACTGCATTCAACATGCATAAGAGAGCTGCCAGTGTTCGAGTTTTTTTTTTTTTCAATCCGGACCATAGGGACCGATCCGGACCATGTGCCTGGCCGATGAAAAATTTGCTGATCATGGACGTCCGGATCATATCCGGACCAACTGGTTGTCTGGGTCCGGATCGGTCCGGTGTCCGGGTTCGCGGTAGCTATGCTAAAAATCAGGGGGCAAAAAAAAAAAAAAAAAAAAAAAAAT